GCAATAAAAATAAAATTTTTCTAAAAAGAAAACAAATTAGTTGTTTATTTTAAGAGACCTATCTTATTATCTCTTGTATATTTAGTATTGCTCTTTAAAAAAGAAAAATGACTTCTTATCCAATTACTCGATTAATCGATGGAATAATCTGTAGAATACTTGATTACAAAAATAATCGATAGCTGCAGCCCTAGAGTCATTGAATAATTTATTCATAAATTACATGTGATTTTGTTTAGTTGTCTAATGTGTTTCTTCAGAATGATGAGAACCACAACTTCCATTGGGGGGGGAAAAAAGAAAGAAAGAAAAAAAAAACTCAATTTATCATGCAGTTCTATTTTGCACACAAACAGCTCTTAAAGAGTCCAGTTTTTATGTAGCCTGTTGATTTTTGTTCATGATATTCAGCTCCAATAAATGGTTTGCAAAAAAGAGACACAGGATAAATGTTTGATATCATTATTTAATCACATTGGAATCGAAACTGGGAATTGAAAATAATCAGAATCGAGAAGCGGAATCGGAATTGATCAAATTTAAACGATACCCAACCCTAGTCCTGGAAGTAATACATGAGCAAACAGTCCAACTTCAGACCATGAGTCAGCAAATTGGTGATGTGGAAGGGAGGAAAGCTGCTGTTAAAGGGGTCTTATTATGCTCTTTTACAAAGTCTTGATTTTGTTTTGGGGTATACTAGAACATGCTCTCATGCTTGGTGTATAATGATATATAATACGTATATAAACTTATCTTTTTCACACAATTTACATTATTACAATACCTTTCTCCCCAGCCTGGCACAAACGGCTCGATTAGTTCCGGGTTTGATGAAGACCCGCCTTCCCAAAAAACGAAATGGGTTGTGATTGGTTAGCTGTCCCAGTGCGTTGTGATTGGCGAACAGCTTAGACGGTGTTTCAGTACTGCCCCGCCCCGTCAATATTGCCATATAAATTTGAGCTGGATTCAGACCCCGAGAATAATGAACAAGAGGATTGCGCAGAACCTTTGCACGCATGGATATTGCAAGACATATTAGAGTGGTAACGTTATTGTTGTTGTTGTTTTTTTTGGCTAAATCACGTTTTAGATAGGATGTCAACAACCGGTTAAAAATAACTGCATTTACTATGTACAGATAAGCGCATATGTAGTATGTTTATTGTTCTTTAATTCTAACATTATAACATGAATTGCAGTGAAACTGTTATACATTTGAATTTATTTATACCATAGTCCAGTGTTTCCGACAGACTTGCACTCTATTTCATTCTCTGGCAGCAGGAGTCGCTGTTGGAGTGGGAGAGATCGAGGTTTTCCTGGTAACCGCTGTACACAAAGCAGCTCTATGCTCACAAACGCTGCTTTATCAGACATTACATGAAAGATAAAATGAAAATGACATCCAATTTTCTGAAGACAGTCGGTTTCCTTAAGAAATACAGTGATATAATAACACCCGCACTCAATGTATGGGAAACACTGTAGTCTCATAATTGAAGTGTAAATTCTGCAGATTACATCATTGTCCAGTATTGTACTATTGTCAGCAATTTATTATAAAAACGTTTTCATAATTGTAGCATACATATTTACATAGGCTACATAATTATTCAGGTGCATGTGTAATAATTTGCGAAAACTTTACGCTACAGGAGCACTTCTTCTTCGTCGTCTTCTTGTCTGATGCACTCAACCCACGACCTCGCCCCTCCCCACCCCTCAACCATTCGAATTTCCGTAGGCGGAAATTATTTTAATGATATTCTAATGCGCCGCTTTGTGACATCACAAAACCCGGAAAACAATGCTGTAGTCCAAACTAGCCGTTCGATGTAGTTATTGAAAAGGGATTTTTTTTTAAATCTCCCTTTGGAGTGTACTTTGAGATTTGTAACTTTGTAGATCTTTTTTATGCCCAAACATACACACTGACTAAAATTCAAAAAGTGAAAAAGCATAATAGGACCGCTTTAAGACCCTGACTTCATCCATGGGTGCAAAAACAGCAGCCTTGGAGAAACAGGTGCATCATTTGGTGAACCACATCGACAACCTGGAAAACCGAGGAGGACGCAGATGCAATGTTCAAGTTATCAGTTTGCCTGAAGGGACTGAGGGCTCAAACCCGATTAAATTCTTTGAAAAGTTGATTACTGATCATCTTCAGATTACCACTAGCTAGGTGCATCACATTGGATCAGGCACTTACAGTAGAGTATGTATTTTTTTTGACAGCCCAATGTTATAAATATATATTCTTCTCATTTGTAAGCATGCCTTTGATGGCTCGATTGGGTTAGGATTTAAGCATAGCCTCGTCCTTTTTTCTCTTATCTGATATGTAATTCATTTGAGGCTGTAGATGACCAGTTTAGGAATAGGATTGCATTCCCTCGTAGGTATACTCTTCTACACAGAAGAGTATACGCAGTTTGCGTTCAGCGCATATTCTCCAAAATGGCGCTACTGTGATATTGCAAGACATATTAGAGACACAAAGGAGACGAATTGTTGAATAAAGTCGTTCTTTTTGTTTTCTTCGCGTACAAAAAGTATTCTCCTCGCTTCGTAATGTTATGGTTGAGCCACTGATGGCAGATGGACTATTCTGACGATGTCTTTCATACTTTGTTTTACTTTTATTAAAACAAAGGGATCAATTAATAAAATCTCTTCATGTTTCAGTTAAGACGTGTGAACAAATTATTAAAACATGCTTGTGAGTTAATCTCAATAATATTAATGTCTAGTATAAAGATTCAAGTCTGAATTGTTCATTTGCAACTTTAGTTTATTTTTAGTACATTAAAGTACATTTAGCACATTTTGTTTCAGTGTCTGATTCTTTTTGCATATTTTTACACTAAAAAGTGAATGCCCCCTATTCAATTACTGGCTATAACACCATTAGCAGAAATAACTGCAACTAAACAGTCCCTGTAATTATATATGTTTCACACTGTAGTGGAAGAAAAAAACTGCTTCAGCTCCTTGACATTTGTAGCCTTCAGATCATTGTCTCTCTGCTGAGCCAGCTGTGATTTAGTGCATAGACAAATGGCTTCTACTGGAGAAATCTCGTGGTGCGGGTCAGCATAGTCCCTATCCTTCAATAACGGCAAGACCTCCAGGTCCAAGATGCTGCGAAACATCTTTAAATCGTCACACTACCATTATGGTACTTGGTGGTTGGTGTGAGGTTCTTCTTATGAAATACAGTATTTGGCTTTTGATTCATCTGTCCATAAGAGGATCATACGGTATGTTCTTGACTCAGCTAGGGAATCCCATTTTGCCTATTGTAAGAAAGCTGGAAGGATTCAGACATTTTCTTTGCAGTATAGCTGTCAGTAGGCATGGGATGTACTGAATAAATACCAACCCATATGTGATAAAGCCAGTTCTTTGTGCAAGAAATGCATAGCAAGGCAGTTGAGGAACAATGTCTGTATTCATGGTATATTATGTGAAGCATCCTGGAGCTTTCATTAGAAATTAATGATAGTGAGGATGAGATGGGAGAAAGGAAGGCCAGGCTGCAGTATATGGCAGACAGAGCCACTGAAAACTCTGCTGTAACTCAGTCCGAGCAGGACGGCTCACTGGATCACCTTTCTCTTATGTGCATGTTTGTATGAGATGGAGAGAATGATATATTCTAGCATTTATTGTGAGCACAATTAATCAGAAAAAAAAAGTGTGTGTGACAAAATGTTAAATATTTCATTATTAAGTATTTAAGTATTTAAATGTGAAGTATTTAATAATTAGGGCTGCTCAATTAATAGTGACATGGTGTCACGGACACGGATGTGTGGAGGCAGGCAGGACGACGAGGACAACAAGAATTCCACTACTCACTTTTAATGTAGACACAACAAGGCAGGTACAGGTAGGTGAAACACACACACTCGGGGTAACATTCACAATAACCGACACCAATGCTCAGACAGACAGGAACTAATAAGGGGTGAATAATTAGAGGCAGACAGGTGAGCACAATGACTGGCGGAACAGGGGACTCAGGTTGCCATGGCGGATTAGGGGGCTCAGGAGGCCATGGCGGAACAGAGGGCTCAGGAGGCCATGGTGGAACAGGGGGCTCAGGTTGCCATGG